GTTTGGGAATGATATTTTTAAACTTGAATTTAGCAACACTGAAGCGGATGCAGAGAGGGGAGACAATTTATGTCAAGTGGATGAGATAATGCCACGCACACAGTAAATACTAGGATGACGGCCACGATGCTTGCCTTGTTAATATCTACTATTCGTACTGGGGATGATCTGAAAATCCGCTGTCCTCACTGGTTCACGCCAGGTTCCTAGATCTGAGACATGCAGTGTTGGGCTCAAACCGGTGTTAGAGTGTGTGCATTTTATGTGCTGAATTGTACCCCTGGCCATCTCAAACTCATATATTGAAACCTTAACGCAGTACCTCAGACTGTGACTCTATTTGGAGACAATGCCTTTAAAGAGCTGATTTGAATTGAAATGAGGTCTTTAGAGTGGGTTCTAATCCAATCTGACTTGTGTCATTCAAAGAATGAAAATTTAGATACAAAAAGAGACACCAAAAATGTGAGTGCACAGGGAAAAGAACATGTGAGGACATGGAGAGATGGTAGCCATCTGCAAGCCCAGAAGAGGGGATTCAAGAAGACTGGAGTGTTTTATTATGGCAGCCCTAGTAAACTAATATGGTGCATAAAATCATTTCTTCACCCTGTATCATAAATAGCTGCCTCCTTTCAATTTACAGAAGAGTAGCTATTTAGTGCAAGCTCAGGGCACTGTAGTGGAAGAGATACTAATATATGCTCATAGACCTCAGTTCAAAATTTGTCTCCTTTGTGCAAATTGTACAGTCTTAAGCAAGTTATCCAACTGTGCAAGCCACTGTTTTCTTCTTTAAAAAATAAGTTTATTTTACATGTTATGAGGACTAAATGAACACTGAGGGTATTTAGCAGTGGCTCCTGCATTTGCCCGTGTGAGCACTTCTCATACAATTCTCTGTATTCCTTCAGGTAAGACAAGTTGCAGCACTGAAAAGATCACTTCATAGAAGGTGGTTAGCTGAAACAAAAGACGTTTCTTTTAGTGAGTCTTTCCTGATATTTAAAGGGCTTATAATTTATAACATATCAGTATCTTAATTAGTCTCTGCCTCTGGGTTTACCATCTGTGTATCCAGCCTCCACACTATCATCTAATTAATTTCTCTCAATTCAAGTATAAACACATCATACCTTTACATGTAACTCTTCAATGGCACTGTCTCAGCTCCTTGTGGGGGAAATATGCTATCGCTCCTCTTGCCCTACCTCTCTCTCCCCAAAGCTCCTGTGTGTCATGTGTTCCAGCCTACAAAGCTATGTCTAGTTGCCACACAAAACTTACTGTTTGATGCCCCTGTGACTTGCTGCCTTCCTTTGTGAAATGCTCTTCCCTGTTTGTCATCTGATGACTACTACTTACCCTTCACTTTCTCAGGAAAATGTTCACAGTATTCTCAACCAGAATTAATATATTATTGTCTTCTTATGAAAACAGTGAATCTCCTCAGACCTCTCACAATGATTAGAAAATTATATTGTTTTTAAATATTTATATTTGTTTCTTTCTAGCCAGTAAGTTTTTCAAGGATAGAGTCTCTGTCTTAATAATCTTTGTATTCCAAGCATCAAGCACAATGCCTAGCATAAAATGAACATCAATAAACACTGGTTGGATAAATGACCAAAGAATAAATGCTTGTCATCTATCATATTAATATATAATCAGAGCTTATAGTGCAAAGACCATGAGCTTTAAAAGCCCGGGTTCCCATTTGAGATTAGTCATTTACTTCTCTGAGCCTCAGTTTCATCATGTATATTAAGTCTTGCTGTTGTCATTTGTATTAAAACAAGACATGTAAGTAACAGATGAAGTTCCATGCCTGATTTAGCGCAGGCTCTAGATCAATGCTAGCTCCCCTAAGTTATCTCAGTTTACCCACAGTCACATTTTGACATCACTCTCCTGGACAGATCACAGTATTTAATTTGGCAAATGCTTTAAGTTTGGTTCTTTCATATCAAATATAAAAAACCAAAAGATCACACGGACTATAATCTTGTACATAGACTTCATGGAAAAGTTACATCTTGTTTTCTATACCTATTAACTGGAGGAAACTATATTTATTGTATAGGACTGGGTTGATTCCTGTGAAGATCTACTGAAATGCTTGTTGTATCATTAGTACAGTATCTGAAACACATTACTCAATAAATATTAAGTCACTTCTCTTTCCTCCACAGAATGAACCAAACTGTAAATGTCACTAAATTGTGATATAGTTCAAGTAAAAAAAAATGCTCACATTTGAAAGTCTAACACACTGAATATAGTCATGTGCTGCATAACAACGTTTCAGTCAACAGCCGACTGCTGGTACAGTGGTGGCTCTCTAATATCATAATGGTGCTGAAGAATCCCTATCACCTATGACATCTCAATGATCCTGACCCTATGTAGGTCTATGCTAATGTGTGTGTTTGTGTCTTAATTTATAAAAAGGTAGGCCCGGTGTGGTGACTCACACCTGTAATCCCATCTCTTTTGGAGGCCAAGGTGGGCAGATTGCTAGAGCCCAGGAGTTTAAGACCAGCCTGAGCAATACGGCAAAACCCCATCCACTAAAAATACAAAAATCAGCCAGGTGTGGTGGCACATGTCTGTAATCCCAGCTACTCTGGAGGATGAGGCACAAGAATTCCTTGAACCTGGAAGGAGGGGTTGCAGTGAACTGAAATCACACCACTGCATTCTAGCCTGGGTGACAGAAGGGAAAAAAAAAGTTTATAAAGTTAAGAAAAAATTAAATAGATAAAAGTATATAGAATGAGGATATGAGGAAAGGAAATATAATTGTACAGCCGTACAAATATATTTGTGCTTTAAGGTAAGTATTATGACAAGAATCAAAAACAAAACCTAAGTATTATTACAAGAGTATTTCATGTGTTTCAGATACTGAAAGAGTCAAAAATTAATAAAAACTACAGGTTTATAAAGTGAAGAAATTACAGTAAGCTAAGGTTAATTTAATATTGAAGAAAGAAAAACCCTTTTGAATCAATGTAGTGTAGCCCAAGAGTACAGCGCTGATAAAGTCTGCGGTGGTGCAGAGTAATGGCCTGGGCCTTCAGTCACTCACCACTCACTCACCGACCCACCTAAGAGCAATGTCCAGTCCCACAAGCTCCATTCATGTTAAGTGCCCTGTATGGGTATACCACTTTTGATCTTTTATACCACATTTTTACTGAAGTTTTTCCATGTTTATATACACAAACACCATTCTATATCCACTGCCTAAGTATTCAGTACAATAACATGCTGTGCAGGTAGACCATACAGTCCAGATGTGTAGCAGGTTATACCATGCAGGTGTGTAAGTGCACTCTCTGATGTTCATGCAATGACAAAATTGCCTAAGGATGCATTTCTCAGATCGTATCCCAGTCATCAAATGATGCATGACTGTATATAACAGATATGGGAACAGAACTAACAAATATGTGCAGTGAGACTATCGCACAAACGTACCAGGGTAAGAATATGCACTTGGCAGTCACACACTTCAGTTACCATTTTATCAGCTGTTCAGTCACAAGCAACTGCCAGAGTCTCTTGGTTATCTAATCTCCTCATCTACAGCAATACCATCAGCTTTATAGGATTGTTGTCAGGACTGATGTGTTCAGACAACCTAGACTGTAAGGCCTTACAAAACTTACAGAAACAGTGCCAGGAACATAGCATGTAGTCAGCAAATGTTGTGGGGGTGGGAGACTTGCTTTGCTAGGATATTTAAACTACATATTGAAATATTTGTGGATATTTATGTTTTTAAACAAAATCAGAGGACTTGTTTATTTATAAAGGGTACAAATCTTTGAATTAGAATATGTGACTTAGGAATTTCATCTTTCCACTTACTGTGTGATTTCTGACAAATTACTTCTGTGCTCCTTTTCTTCACGTATACAATGAAAACAATGCCATATATTTCATGAAGTTGCTGTTATACTGAAATGAGACGGTGCATACAAAGTCTTACCTAGCATTCATCACATGCCAGCCACTGGGCTCCGTAAGTATTAGGTCTACCCTCGACACACTAAAGGGCACAAACACGACATACAGGCTTCCACCAACAAAGACCAGTTGAGAGCCAAAGTTTGAAGGCTACTCAATACTTACAAGTTACAGAAGACTAAAATTTGGTATGAGCAAAAACATAGTTTTTTAAAATATCCCTATCTACCTTAGTACCAGAGTTAACAAATAAGAGAAGGTACGAGTTCAAAGCTCAACTTGCACTGGACGAGTTCAAAAGTGAATCTGTGCTTTCATCAAAATCGCCTCATAGTCCATCTTTACTTATGGTTCATAATCACTATAAAGCCAATATATTGTTTCATGTGCATGTATATCTTTGTCTTCCACTTAGAATTTTAAACATAAGAAACACTAATTTCATATATCAATGAACATCAGGGTAATATTATCAGAAGAGGTAACTTTGATGCTCTGTTTTGTCTCTGGTAACATTTGCTTATTTGTGGGTAAGTATTTCTTTGGAAAATAAATCACAACTAAGTCATTCACAGAAAGGAGTCTGAAGTTGTTAGAAAACAGGAGAGTTGCTGCTGAGAAACTGAAATGTTCTATGAACAGGAATCAAAACTTTTAAACCTTCTTCTCCAAGCACTGACAATGTAGGATACTTATACATTTCCAATGTAACTTTGGGCCTTAAGACTAACTAGTCACAGAGCTTGAGGCCATTGTTCCACCTAAAATATACTAAACACTTAATTTTTAGACTAAAATTTCAATTTTTATTTCCCAAGCCTGATTTCTTTAACATTATGGTAAACTTGGGTAGGGTAATACATGCTGGTTGCTAGAACACATAGTGCTTGTCCATTTAAACAATTATTCAAACAGGGCAAGCCAAATTACCCTCTCTAGCTGACTGCCATACTTTTCCCAGACTGTATGAATGTAGAAGGGAATGGTTTCTGTTGTGGGGTCTTGTAGTAAAGACTGACTCTTACCTTTGGGCTGGGGTGCTATAGCTGTTCTCATAGGAATCATAACTCTGTTCATCATAAGCAGTGCCATATCCATCATCATAGTCCTAAAACATAACAGGAGAAGTACAGACATATTCAGAGAAGTTTCTAAAGAGAAAGAAGCATTCTGCTTTTTGTGACTTTCCATTAATTCAGCTAGCATTTAATTATATGTCTAATTACAGCATAAAGAAAAATATAGGAGTGACTTCAGTGAAAATGGTGGAGAACCTCCCAACAGTCTCTCTATAAAGGCAAAGAGAAATTGGTAAAAATGGTCAGAATCACCATTTTCAGAACCTTGGAAATTAACCAAAAGACTGCAGAGCTCTAGAAAACATTGTCTTCCTTCTTTTTTTAAATAGCTGAATCCTGCTAAGAACGGTGATCTTTGTGCTGTTATAACTTGGTCTTATTCCCATGCCCCACTCCCTAGCTCTGCAGGAACCTTGAAAACCAACAGCCACAATCACCAGGAGTCTGCATGCCACTGAAAGGGGCAGACAAGGAACAAGGCTGGAGTTCTGTCAAAACCTCATTCCTAAAGAACTGTCTTCATCTGACCTGACTCAGACCTCACCCCTTGTAAAATACCTTTTGCCTCAGAGTATTTGAAGAAAATTAATTAGAGCCAGTTGTTTGAAATTTCTGCAGCCTAAGGTAGTCAAGAAAAGCTAAACAAACAATGAGCTAATCAAAAACCTTTGAAAGAAAAGTGGGGAATGAGGTGTCCAAAACAGGCCTTGGAAAGCTCTGAATTATTCCTGGCAATCTGGAAGGCTGGGACCATGCATAGTGCCACATTCCTGCCCAGAAAAGACCTGAGAGGGCTCTGAGCTCTCTCTTCTGGCTGATCTTGAGGTGAAGCATGAGTCACAATATGCACCAGAGGGCCTTGGAAATGATTAGAAAGCTTCCAGGCATTTACTAAAATCTCTGCCCAATCATTAGCTGACTACTAAACTAACACAGAGACTTCAATAGCAACACACAAAAAAATAGAGACTTTATAACATTAGTTTAGAAAAGTCACTAAACAAATGGGAAACACTGGAAAACTTTGATTTCTAAGTTTACACATTAAATATTCAGTTTGAAACAACAACAAAAAAAATCGAGACATGCAAAAAACCCCACAAAAGGATGTACCTACAGAAGAAAAGAAGCAGTCAATAAAAACAGTCCCTGAGGAAGCTGAGACATTGGACTTTTAGACAAAGACTTTAATTTGGTTATTTTCAATACAGCTGGCACTTGAACAACACATGTTTGAACTGTGTGGGTTCACTTATGCGCAGAGTTTTTTCAACCAAATATGGATTGAAAATACAGTATTCATAGAATGTGAAACTCATATATATGGAGAACCAACTTTTCAAATATGTGTGTTCTGCAGGGCAGATTATGGAACTTGAGTATGTGTGGATTTTGGTATATACAGGGTATAGCTGTGTAGTCAAGGAATTAAATAATACCCTTTCTAACCAACTAAAGTGTAAGAAAAGTGTCTCATCAAACAAATATTAATATAGATACAGAAAACATAAAAAAGAATCAAAATAAATTCTTAAGATGCAAAGTACAAAAACTAAAGTAAAATATTCATTCGAGAAGCTTATCAGCAGATGTAAGGTGATGAAGAAAAAAGTTAGTCAACTTGAAGATGGATGAGCTGAGAAAATCCAGTCTGAGGAAGAGAAAACAAAGATGAATGAACAGAGTATCAGAGACCTGAGGGACAGCATCAAACATGTTGACACACACATACTGACAGACCCAAAGGAAAAAAGAGAGAGGCGTGGAGAGAGTATTCTGAGAAACAAGGGCTGAAAACTTCCAAAACATGATGAATAACTGTAATCTACACATCCAAGAAGCTCAACAATCTCTAAAAATGATAAACTCAGAGATCTAAACATAGGCATGGTTATTGTCAAACTGTTGAAAGACAAAGAGAAAGAGCAAATCTTGAAAGCAGCAAGAGAGAAGCAAATTATCACATGTAAGACATTTTTATAGTATTAGCAGGTGATTTCTAACACAAACCATAAAGGCCAGAAGACAATGGGAAGCCGTATTAATAAGTTATTAAAGAAGAAAAAAAAAGACTGTCAACGAAAATTTCTCTATCCAGCAAAACTATCCTCCAACAATGAAAGAGACATTTTAAAAAATGGTCATTTGAATCCACATGAAAAAAACAAAGAACATTGGTAAATCCTTAGGTAAACATAAAAGACAGTATAAACATATTTTTTTTATTTGTAACTCTCTTCCTTTTATCCAATTTAAAAGACAAATGCATAAAAGAACTATAAATCCATATTGATGGGTATACAATGTATAAAGATGTAATTTGCATGATAGTAATAAGACAAAAATGAGTGGAGAGAATGGAGCTATTAAAGAGCAAAGTTTTTGTGTTGGTTTAATTCTGAAAAAGCAATACAAATAATTTAAACATAAAAATGTAGAAAAAGAAGCAACAAAGTAGTGCAGTAGAAAAAGAAAGAAAACATTTAACACAAAAGCAGCAAGTAAGGTACAAAAAATACATAAACTATGTAGAAAACAAATGGCAGGTATAAATCCTACCTAATCAGTCATTACACTAAGTATTAGTGGATTAAATACACCTGTTACAAGGCAGAAATTAGCATCATGGAAAAAATGATCCAACCACATGCTGTTTACAAGAGTTAAACTTTAGGTTCAAAGATAAAAACGGGTTTAAAAGAAAAGTATGGAAGAAGATATACCATGAACACAGTAACTAAAAGAGTATTAAACTGACTATAATACTAACAGACAAAAGAGGTTTTAAGACTATTAGAGAAAAATGACATTTAAAAAATGATAAAAAGATCAATTCATCAAGAAGGTAAAATCATTATAAACATTTATGCATATATATATGCACATATATAAATATATGTAAAAAGAGCTTCAAAATACATGAAGCAAAAACTACCAGAATTAAAGGGAGAAACATAATTCAACAATAATAGTTGAGTACTTCATCAACAGTTTTTCAGTAATAAGTAAACACCTAGAAAGAAGACCAAAAAAGAAAAAAAGATTGAACAATACAAATCAATTATACCTAATAGACATCTATAGAGAAATCTACTCAAAAAGAGCGGAATACTAATTCCACTACACATGGAACATTCTTCAGGATAGATAATAAGTCTTCCCAGGTCAAAATTTACTATAAAGCTACAGTAATCAAAACAGTGTGGTACTACAAAGCTTTCGACTTTGTAAAACAAATGTTAATATGAAGGGACAGTACTGTCTTTGTAGGATTAAGAAACAATTTATATATAATCACTAATATTTAAAAAAAATTTTAGAAAAAAGCAACTGAGTATTTGTCAAAGAGCTGTATGTTAGGTATTTTGATGACAATGTATAATATAAAGTGAGAGTCATTAAATGAGGGCAGAGGATAATAAAAGTCACAAATATGATTATAACACAATTTGCAAGCCAAAGTATTCTTCATAGTAGCTGAAGGTAGATTACTAATTTGACTATGATCTTCCAAGAGTCAATCAAAGAAGAGAAAGCTGTCAGAAAACAAACAAACAAATATTCTGAGATGACTTTGGTTATCAGGTAACTAGCAAAATGCAGACATTACAAATAATTCTTATGAATTAAAAGAAGCTGGAAGCTCCTAATGGAAGGAAAATTCCTATTAAACCTTCACTTAACACCTACGCCATTTCTGGCACTCTGCTAGACACCATGGTTGGAAAGAAGCATCCTAGTATAGTAAGCAGGGTGACATGAGGTGTAGTAGGAGACAGATGACAGACATCTAAAGAGACAACTATAATTCTACGAGTCAACTGCTGTGTTGAAGGTAGGCACTGAGGTGGGATAAACCGTTAGGAAAAGAGAAAGTAGAAGAAAATTTCCCAGGTGTATCAATGCTAGAAATTAGTTTCAAAGCACAGAAAAGTAGAAGTTGCCATTAAAATAGTCATTAAAAATTAAAATTAGGCAGAATGAACAGCAGGTGCAAAACAACAGAGGTACAGAAAGAGACAAGAACTAAGCTCATCCAAAGAATCAAATTAGCTTGTTGTGGTTCCACTGCAAGGTACAAATGGAAGAGGAGACTCAGAAAATCATACACTAGTTCGTAAAGAACCAAGTGAAGGAACCAGGATTTGAATATGGAGTGACATTATTCATGCTGTGTTTATGAAATATCTCTTGGTGTGTGTGCATGAAACAGAAAGGGTGAAGATGAAGGTTAAGACTCGCAACTAGGTCACTGTACCATGCATACAGTTTGGCAAAATGCAAAGATCATGGTTTCTTAAGTAATCTGCTAGCTTGAAAAAAATATGCTTCTTCAAATAAAGAATCAAGATTGTAAATGACTGGAATTGTAAACAGTATACTATTTCAACCCTACAGTTATGACACCCATTCCTTACTCAATTATTCTGTCAGCTATTACAACACTAGCAATTTATCTGAATTTTCAGATTGTTTAGGTCTTTGCATTACTGACTTTAGTAATTTTATACTAAAGATTTTAGGAGGTTAAATTTACAATTTTCGCAAGATTTCATTCACGATGATTTCACAGTTGGATTTGGCCATGGTGGTGAATATTTTGTACTTCCATTATGATGAGTGTTATTGGTTCAGTGGACAACACTTGAAACATACAGGGAAGCATGAAGCAGAGTACAACAGAAGAAAAGGAGGAAAAGCTGAGCGTGACCGCAAATCAGTGTCTAAGTTTCCAGGCTGGGAGCACAGAGAATTCTTGCTGCACATCTACTATTTTTATCACAAGATGAGGTCACTGGCTGATAACTACAGTGAAGGGGGATTAAGCAATAGAAAAATGACTCAGGAAATGATTAAAAAGAGGAATAGCAGAGGGCAGTGGAGCTGGGTAAAAGCCTCTAACCCTTAAGTTTTTTGTCTGAGGACCGGGTGATCTGAAGGTTTAGCAGGCCTCCCTTTTTCCCTAATGCGCTTATCTTCCAGTGTTCTCAACTACTGGTTGCTCATTTCTTATTTACATAGTTTTATA